GAGAAATGTATGGATGATCCCGGACATGCCAGAAAACGTGGAACACAGGTAGAATCCAGATCAACAATGACATCCAGTCCATGGTAATCCCACAGGGGGCACTTGAAGGGGACAGGTAGGATCTCGTCTCACTGACTGCACTCACCTCGTGGTCTGAGCATGGGCTAGGGCACCTCAGGTTGTGGCCTCCCAGAATGAGGACCCCTAGAATCTGAGTCTTCCCATCCTGCCTCCCCTGCTGTGGCCACTACCTAGGCTGCTGCTGAGCAGGAGGGCAGGTCGGGAGAACAAGGGGCCCAGGGGGACAGTGAGCTCAGGGGGACAACAGGCTCAGGGCTGACCCTGCAGGTGTGTGTCACAGGTGGCACTTGTTTGCCAGATCTTCCATCCATTCATTCATTCACAGACTCACTTGTTCCTAATCTGTTAGTTCTCACGTCACATTCATTCCTCATCCTTTCATCTGTCCTTTGACTCATCCATTTGTTCACTGCTTCCTGAGGGCCTGGTGGCCAAGCTGGGGGGAGGTCATCCCAGGTCTCATGGTTGGGGGTGGCTACAAGCGCACTGCCCATGCCATGCACTTTCTCCTCTGTTCACAGGGGTACCATCTGGACCCTCCGTGTCCGCTTCCTAGAAGAAAGGGTGCTTCCCCACTGGACGGCCTTCACCATCTGGAATGCTGGCAAGCAGGGGCGGCGGCTCTATCGCAGCCTGGGAGCCGCCAACCGTCAGAAGGTGGGACCTGGCCCTGCCCGCCCACTGCCCAGCCCCAGCTAGCTTCCCGCCACCCTCTTCCTTCAAGCTGAGGGGTCTGGCTCCTGCTCCCGCAGGGTCCTGTGACTGGCCCTGTCACTCCACAGACATATGACCTGTCTGCTGCGGGTATGTGGGAATTTCTCGTCTGCCCGTCCCTGGATGTGGGGAGTAGGCATTGGCTGTATAGACTGAGTGGCCCTTCCATGAACGCCCTTGGCTGTGAAAATCCTATATTTTCTCAGGTTGTAGCCTTCTGTGACATTGATGAACGCAAAGTCAAAAAGGGTTTCTACTGCTACGAGGATTCCCAGGTGTGTGCGAGTGGAGCCTTCTCTGAGGGCAGGATTTGGGGACATTCAGGGGCCATCTGAGGGCTCCAACTCAGCCCCTCCCCTCCCCCTGAAAAAGTGCTGGGTGACACCCAGTTGCTGAGGGTGCAGGTGGCAGGGTCAAGGGGAGGCATTGGGCAAGTTATGTCTGCCGTGCATATCCAGACACTGGATCCCCACCACCTCTCCCCCAGGGCCCATGCTTCCTCATGGGGGGAGCAAGCAGTCGATGGAGGCCGGTCCTGGCCCTGGGTCCCAGGTTCTAGGTCCCAATTTCTAGATAGGACCTAGTTTCTGGTTTCTGGGCCCATTCCTGAGTTCTGGGTCCTGGTCTGTCCACCCCCAAAGACCTTTGACCACAGTACCTGCCTCCTGCATTGGGCCCGTTCTGTGTGGCTAGTGAGGAAGCCACCTGTCTGACTCGTCGGTTGCTTCTCTAGGAGAGGCCCAAGCCCCGGGTTCCGATCCTGCACTTCCGAGATGCCCAGCCTCCCTTCATCATCTGCGTGAAGCTGGTGAGCGTTGTTGGCCCTGGAGGGGGGGACACTGTGGGGTCACGATGGGTGGTTATGGGGGACACCATGAGCTGCGTCTATGTGGACCTCAGAGTGGACAGAGCTACCAGGCCGTGGCCAGGCTGTTGCACGCCCATGTGCACACACGCACACCCCACTCCGAGTCCTAAAGTACATGTGTGCACACACTGTCCTGAGCTGGGTGGTCATCACAGTGCCTGCCCTGCCTCCCTGAGCACAGCACAGCCAGCCCGTGGTGTCCTGCCTGCAGGTGAAGGCTGCTGACTCTGGTTTCTGCCCACACCCTGCAGGAGCCACCCTCACTGTGGGAGGCAGGGCCCATCCCCTGTAGTGCCCCCGAGCCCCCAGGAATGTCAGACTCATGCTGCCAGTGGTGCATGGACACCCAGTGCCAACACTGGCCTGACATGGGTGCAGTTTGATGATGTTCCTGGGGTTCAGGTTAGCTGTGCAGTAGAGAGGGGCTGGATGACTCCAAACATGCTGTCCCACAGGACCTCACTGGGGGCGTGTTTGAGGACAATCTTCAGTCCCTGCACCTGCAGGAAGGACAAGACTTCTTCCACTTCAGCTGACAGGCCCCCAGTGCCACACAGGTAGGGACTCGGCCTGGGCAGCAGGATGAGGGTGTATGACTGAGGTCATGTCAGTTTTCCCATGTTCTCAGGGTGACAGGTCATCAAGGCTGTGACCCACATTGTCAGTGTCCCCATGTTCTTGGGGACTGTGAGCTGGTCATCTGGGGCTGTGACACTTATTACTGTATCTCCCGTGTTCTTGGAGTGAAGTGAAAAAGTGAAAGCCTTCATTGTATGTCAGGTACATACATTTCAGGGGCATCTAGGGCCCTAACCCAAAGGTTGAGCCTGTCGGTTCAAATCCACCAGCGACCCCAGGGCAGAAAGATGGGCAGTCTCCTCCCTCTCATGTAATTTACAGCTTCAGAAACCCAACGGAGGATCAGCAATGAGTCCACTCTGACTTGATGGCAGAGACAGATGGATTTGACTGGAACCTGCAGCTGTCAGTTCTAGGACACGTGCGAGTGGGGAGTCTGACACCTCATGGTGCACAAGCCTTCTGTCCAAGGCTTTCTCTCTCCAACTAGGAGCACTGGTCGTGGGCAGGATGACTATATAGAGTGCCAACGGGGAAAGCCTGCCCATGACCCAGGCCAGCTTGGCTTGGCTTTGTGTAGGTGTCACTGAATGCACATGTCAGGTGCTGTCCCCTCCGACACCGTGAGCAAACCGAAACCTTGCTGTCATGTGCAGGACTCACGAGCTCAGGCGTGTACGCAGTGGCCCCTGACTTCTGAGCCGTCTCTGTAACATCTGCGTTTACTCTTTGCACACACACTTTTTTGCATCTTGTCTCCTGCTTTCCTCTTGCCATTCTTGGCTTTTTTTCCACGCTAAGAATGCACACACTTACCCACAACTGTGTGTCTGTCTGTGCCTCGCTGTAGAACGTTAGTCCACACTGGACGATGCTTCACCAGGCAGGGTCCCTGCTAGGCTGGGTTAGGACTTGAGGCCGGTTCTCCGGACTTGTATTTACAGTTTTCATGCTGTGACTTGATTTTTGACAGCAAAGCATCCCACCATCTGCTGTGGAGACCACCTCCTCCTCCCACTGTTTGCCCTGCGGTCATCTCCTGGGGTTCCTTCTGTGCTCCAACCGTCTGTGATCTGCATCTTCAAGAGATGCTTCTCAGACTCCACAGGGCGCGTTCACCCTCAGAAGGTGGGCCTCTCCCCAGGTGGCAATCCCCCAGCCCCCTGACAAGCTGAGGTAACCCAGGAGTGAGATGGACTCGGGCTTCCCCAGAACTCATTCAGGCTGACCCCGGCCCCAGCACTCATAACCTCAGTCAGTTGGGACTTTGCTGCTCTTTTCATCTAAAATGGAAAATTGCCCTTGCTCATGAGGGAGTCATGCTTAAGGACTGAAGAAATGCAGTTTATAAAATTAAATGCATAAAGTATCATGGAAGGCTGTCATCTTTGGGGGGATGGTAGTGGCGTCCTGGCCTTGGGGCCTGTATGACGCTGTCCCCTATGGCTGGCCTTGCTTGGTCCTAGTACCAAAGTCAGAGACGGATAAAGGAGCCTGTCTGGTGCATGATTTTATTGGAGTGCATTCATGTCTCCACAGAGACAGAACACTGACAGTCTGGGGCTTAGGGAATGTGAGGAACAATGTGGCAGTCCCACCACCATGGGAGCCCCAAGTGAACTGCAGCAGGGCCCACACAACCCCAGACTGTGCGCTGACCATGGCGTCCGGCTCCTCCTCCTCAGGCCCTTCTGCACCAGGTGGCGTGACTGGACACTCCACTTCCAGGTCATGTGCCTAGCAGGGACCAGGCTGTGGGGGAGAGAGCCCACTCAGTGCTTGGGAATGTACTCCGTGTGATGGGTATGGAGACCCCCCCCGAGGGCCCTCCTTCCCCCAGTGATGAGAACCAGCACAGACTGCATTAGGGCTGGAAACTGCCTTTGAGCCCGATTCTCTGGTGACCTGAGGCCACATGACCAATACACTGCTGAGGGCTCATTTCTCGTTTATGTTTCTGCATCTCCCTGAGGAAAATATGAAATGCTGAACTTGGAAGCTGAGTCTCAGTCAGAGCAACACAGCCATGGTGAGGCTCCCATTTGTAGGCCAGCACTGAAAGAGCTCAACAGCATCACACTGTCCACAGGAGAAATGGAAATGCCTTCTTGGATCTGTCAGGTTCTCAGGTGGGCAAGTCTGTGCTGCAGAAAGTGGGAAGAAGCGCACGCTGGTCCAGAAGGTCACCACTGATGCGCACACGGCAGCATGCTAGTTGTGAGGAGGAGTGTGGGCGGCTTGAGAAGGAAAGCTTTGGCAGGCCCAGCCTTGAGAACCTAGCAGGCTCTCACTGTGCAGCCTGAAGACCTCCCCCCTCCTCCGGCTTCGCCCTCACCTAATGTGAGGGGCTCAGACGCACACTGAAAGGTCGCCCCCAGGAGCACTCTCCCTTCACCCTGTCTCACAACCCAGACAACTGCAGACTCTAACCTGACACATTCAAGATCAGCTTTCAATAGAGCAGCTCTGACGAAGTGGATTTAGGTCCCCCTACTGTTTATAAAGTGGTTACCACAGACAATTACAGCCAACCTCTACAATTTCTCAAAGAAGTAGAGCGGCTATGTTTTCAAGGGATTGTACACAGGAAACAATTAAAAGCAGAGAAGGCACAGGAAGACTAAAGGACAAAGCTCGAGGGCAGTGATTAGACAGCAGGCACGAACATGGCTGATACTGATCCAATGATGGCAATAATCCCTTTACATGTGAGGAGTCCAAATACAGTGAGCCCTGGTGTCGTACCAGTAAGAAGCTCGCTGCAATCAAAAAGGCAGGTGGTTCAAGTCCACCAAGCTGGTCTACGAGGGAAGGATCAGCAGTCTCCTCGCATGCAATTTACTGCCTCTCAGAACCCACCGAGGGTCAGCTATGGGTCAGATCCAACTTGACAGCACACCACCCCATCAAGGACTGTGACTGTCAGGAGACATTTAAAAACCGCCAGCCATTACTGTCTGTAAGACACGCACGTTGTGTATCAACAGTGGCAAGAGCCCAACAGCGCGTATGGTGAAGTACTTATTGCTGACGGAATGAATGCTGGCTCTGGTAGACCAAGGGCGCCTGTCTACACAGTGGGAAGGCCGAGGGAGAGAGAAAGCTGTGGCTTTAATGTCAGCACTAAGCAAAGAAAGCTGGAGTAGCTACAGTAACTTCAGACAACACAGATTTCAGACAGGTAATCATCAGGGTTAATTACAGATGAGCTTTATATAATGACATGTTGTCAAGGACCTCTCTAAAGAGCAAAAGAGCAATACTGCCAGTTTAAAGACTTAGGTGCACTGGATCCAAGCCATGTCTTTCCGCTTCTTTCTATGCATCTAAAAGTTGGACAATGATTAAGTAAAACAAAAGGAGAACCAGTGCCTCTGAACTGTGGTGTTGCAGGAAAGCACTGCGTATCCCATGGACTGCCAAAAAAAGCAAACGCGTATGTCATGGACAGAGTTAACCAGGGTGCTCCTTGGAGGTAAGGGTGGTAAGGCTGTCAAACACTTTGGGCATGTTATCAAAAGGGGCTCGTATCTGGAAAAGGACATTATGCTGAGGAAGGTGGAAGAGGGTCAGAGAAAGAGAGGCCCTGACTGAGATGGACTGACCCAGTGACTAAAACAAGAGGCCCGAGCATAGCAGGGACGTGAGGGTGTGGCCCTGACAACAACACAGTATTGTATACTGACACACAGACCACTTTTCCAGAAATTCAGTGTGCATGTGCCTAGCAGTGTCAAGATATGCAGGACAAAATCAGACAGAACTGCAGAGAAAATCAGACAGACTCACTATTGTGGTTGGAGATGCCAAAACCCTGCTGTCAGAAACTGAGAACTAACTGGTGGGCATAAAATTAGCAGAGGCTTAACTGAACTGAAGAGATCCACCAATCACAGGATCTAACAGCCTCAGACTGCTTCACCCTGCAGCAGCTGGACATGGCGTCCTTCTCAAAAAGTCACCAAGACAGGTCCTGTTCTGCACCATAAATACATTAACATATTTGAAGACTCCAAGTCACAGAGAGATATGCTCTCACATCTCGGTGAGATTAAATGAAAAATAAAAACCAGAAAGATCAATTAATACCGTTCATAGAAAGTCTCAAGAAAAGTTTAAAAAAAAAAGAGTTTGAACTAAAAAGAAACAAACAAAATAGGAAAAATGAGTATGCACCACAACCGAGCGGGATTTAGTCCAGGTTTCAAGGCTGGCAGAGCCAGGTTAAAGAAGAAAATCTTATCATCAAATCTGTCGATGCAGAAAAAACATTTAACATAATCCAACACTCATTCATGATAAAAATGCCCAGCAAACAGGAACAGAGGGAATTCCTCACCTTGGCAACACTCACAGAACACCTACGCTAACCAGCCTGATGAGGTTGGGAACAAGACAGGCAAGTCCCCACACCACGCCTTTTCTATCTTGTATTTCAAAGTCTGAGATGATACAATGAAACAAGAAAAAGAGGTAACAGACATGGGGTAGGGGACAGACAAATCAGTCTGCTCACACATGACAAGGTCACTGTAAAGAAAAGCCCAAATGAAAAATCGTAGCAAGTTATTTGATGGGTATCCCCCAGCTGGTCCATTTCCTCCACTTACATGGAATCACCAGCACAAGACACAAGAACAGGGTTGGAGGGCTGGTACTTCCCAACCTCACATCTTACTAAGAAGCTCCAGTGACCAAGCCAATGGAAGGCTGGGGAAGGAACAGAAAAATGGCTTCCTGAACCAACAGAGAGCCAGGAAATAGACACACACAGACACAGTCCATTCATCTCTGACAGAGGAGCAGAGCACCTCAGTGGAGAGAGGAGTCTTTCCAACAGGTAGCCCAGGATCAACTGGACAGAACAAGCAAAATAAATAACAAATCAAGACATACAGCTCCTATCTTTCAAAAAACTAACCCAAAATGGATCACAGACCTAGATGAAGATGCCACACTCACATTCTAGTTCTGTGATACCATCACTGAGGAGCAGTGGACAGACGCCCTCCACCCCCCACATCAGACTCATCACACACACAGACAGAAACTGCAGGGGCTAGCAAGTTACATGTAAACGTTTTCTAGAACAATACAACTTTTGGGGAAAAAAACCAGAAGACTATTTACATAATCTTAGCATAAGCAAAGATTTCTTAAGCAGGGCTAAATAAAAAAAATAAAACGGAAAATTCTGCAACCTATTCATAAACCTCTAGTCATCAAAAGATAGCATTAAACAGTGAAAAGGCACAGCCCCTTAAGTAGAAAAGGGTATTTGCAGTACATGGAAAGATAAATTGCAATATGCGGATTCCGAAACAAACAAAAAAGCACAGGCAGTTAACAAAGAAACCCCACAGATTAAGTATAAAAAGATAAGCAATCTTGAGAAAAATAGACACAAGAATGACATGATGAAAAAAGCCCAGAAGTGCCCGGCCCCATTCAGGACAACGCAGGCAAGACCCCTGGGCCCTGACAGCAGCAGTGGACGAAAGCATGCCCAGGGAGAATGTGGGTCTGAGTGACAGGGCACGCCTCTAATCTCTCTAGCCCTGTCTTCTAGGGAAGAGATACCAAGGCTGCTGGGATGAGACCCTGGGTCTCAGGCACTCACTGGGTGGACATGTTACCCCATGGGCTGCGTCAGGGACAAGTTGAGAGACAACCTGTGAGATGGTCAGACACGCCCCACCCCAGAAGCCACTTGGAAGCACTGACCTTGGAAACCAGCTGGGGTCTAGGCACCTGGAAGAGGTCACACAGGCGGTTCCGCTGTCCCTTCACCACCAAGAGGTCAGTGTCCCTGAGGGGAGAAAGAAGCCCCAGTCACCACAGACCCTCCCCAGACCGTGCAACCCTGACATGGGTCAGCTCAGAGCCAAAGCACTGCAAGCTTCCCATGATTTTTGTGAGCTGGGCTTCTAAAGTGGGAGCCCAAAGCTATGAACTAACCAGGGTCACTGGGGGTCTCAGTGTTGGATGTCCCTCCCCCCTTCAGGAAACCCTGACAAAGGACACAAGAGTGACTAGCTATAATCCTGAAGAGGATAGAGCTCTGCAAAGCACAGGGGGTGGACAGAGCTGGGGGACAGAGGCAAGTATGGTAATCTCACCAGGCAAGGGGCTATAGGAGGCTGAGGCTGTGGGGAGGGTAAGGCCCACTGTCCACCATGAAGACACATAATCTGGAGTCAGATGTCCAGACACAGAGTAGTAGTTCAGAGGAGAGAAGATGCAGAAAACAAAAGGAAAGAAGCAAACCAACAATGTCTAGAGACAAGCAGTCAGACGAGAAACCAACAGTGAGCAACGGTCCAGAAACTACAGGACTGTCCACAGCAGAGGGAGCTCCAAACAGACAGAAGCAACAAACCCCAAGAGGCAGAGATAGAGGGCCTAGAGCACCCCTGGGAAGCCCACAGCATCCCAGACAGAAAATGAGTGCAGGGACACTGACAGAGGTAAGAGGCTGGATCCTCAGACAGAGACAGGACATTTCAACCCTCCAGGCTATTCAGACTGGCCAGGCAGAGGGGCGGGTGGTGTAACACACACAGCAGTGAGCAGTCCACGCGGAAGATGACCATCCATGTGGGGACAAGCTGTCCACATGGGCGAGAAATGTTCATAAGGGGGTACCCATTCAATGTAGGGGTGAGTCAGGGGAAAGGAAGAACCACCTCTATGGAGGAAGATTAACTTCCAGGACAGGAGCTGATGGCCAGAAGCAGCCAATCTGGGTCCAAGTCAGAATGCAGTCTATGAGCACTCTCTGAGCATAGTCTGAGAGCGTGGTGTCTGCGAGGAGGTCTCTGAGTGTGGTCTGTGAGCAGGTATGGGAAGGTGGTCTCTGCGAATCCTCTGTGAGCAGGTCTGAGTGTGGTCTCTGCGAGTTCTCTGCGAGGAGGTCTCTGAGTGTGGTCTGAGAGCTTGGTCTCTGCGAGTTCTCTGAGTATAGTCTGTGAGCATGGTCTCTGCGAGTTCTCTGGGAGCAGGAGTGAGAGTGTGGTCTGTGAGCGTGGCCCTGCAAACTTACCAGGTCGTTTCACCAAGCACAGCCATGACCTCATCCAGAGCCTCAGGGCCCACAATCTCCTCACCATAGATGATCATCACCTCATACAGGTGGCTGGCCGTAGTGTTGCGGACCTGGGACATAAGCAGAGGTGTCAGCAGGAGATACAAGAGGGGCCTGGGAGGGCAGAATCAGTTTCCAGGGCAGGACACTCGGAACCCAGCTCTGGATCCAGCAGGAAAGGTGTACCCCCAGCTTGCTGACAATGTGTGGAACTCTGGCCCTGGTCCAGGAAAGGCCCAAATCCTAAGCAATTTCTAGATGAACCCCTGAAATCTAAATCATTCGCGAGCTGAGAGACATCATCTCACTAAGGATGGCTGCTGAAGGAGACTGGGGTCTATCCCTACTCCACATGGCATGTGAGGGACACGAGAATGTGAGTGGGATTCTGGGAGCTGCTGCCACAGAAACCAAGGGTGAAATGCAGCATCCGTCAGGGAAGGGCTCACCATACAGACCACGCAGTGTGGGGACCCTGCTGTCAGATCATGAGCTTCCACTCAACCAGGTGATCCCAGTTCCAACCTCCAGGCTGTCACCTCGGAGGTGGCATCAGCGCTGAGCATGACCTCGGGCGTGGGCTGTATTTTGTGTCATGTGGTTGTGGCCTGAGGTGCAATCTGCAGGACCTGCCCTACTTTTCCTTGGGACCTAAGGTCAATGTGTACATCTCCCAGCCACATGGTCTCCCGTGCCTGCCCCATGGCGGAAGCAAAGCCAGAGTCATTTATGGACCTGGAGAAAGGCTGGGGACCACTCCCCAAAGAGCCTGCCAGTCACCCCGCCACACACATGCCCCCCACCCATCTGGGACGCACCACCAGGTAAGCCCAGCTAATGAAGGAATCAGTGCTCTGTCACCCTGATGCCCGAGTCTCTGTAATTGCAGCCTCTGCAGTCACACTCACAATAGGAAATGGGTGGCAGAGCAGCAGCAGCAGCTGGAGAAGCACTTTCTTCCTCAGCTCCCCCCGGAACGGAATCATCCCACAGAACCTGCAGCAAGGGGACTGCGTGTGAGCACCAGCCACTGAGGCCGAGGGGCAGCCAGGGCACACCGGGTGGTGGACTCCTGGGGTCCGGAGGAGATCCTTCAAGGGAAGCGTCCACCCCAAAGCCCTTCTCAGCCCCGAACCTGACCACCCCACCCACCCGGCAGAGAGGAGGGTCTGTGGACACCAACCAGAGGCCAGGGGCTCCCGGCTAGCCTGGGCTCTGGGTCTGTATCTGTGAAATAGATCCCAGTGGAAACCAGGCCCCATATATACCCCTCCCTGCCACCTCCCATGCCCTCACTGGGGCAGGAAAGTAGAGGCTAGGCTCACACCCCAGTCCTGCCACCCTTGACCAAGTCCCAAGCAGGGGACACATTTCACTCACACAGCAATGCTGGACCGAAGCTTGTGCACGTCTTTGGACTTCCTGATTTCCTCCTTGCAAAGCGCCAACAGCTTCATGGCAAAGGGAGGGCTGGAAAAAAGCAGTCACTGGGGACATGCTCTGGGGGTGCAGGTCCTACGTGGCAGCCATGGTTCTGGGGCAGCTGCAGCTATCCGGATGGGGATGCCCTCTCTTCAGCCAAGGTCACCTGACTACTGTTCTGCCCACCTCTCCCAGCACCCGGCCGACTCCCACCACCCAACATTCCTATCTCCAGGTTTGGCCCAAGTGACTCAGCTCAGCCAGCAGCACTCACTCCTCCTCTGCCATGTAGACATCGAAGCATCCATTGGCCAGCAACTGGTCTAGTGTCTTCAACAGTGGCACAGACACCCTGTGAGAGACAAGCAGTGAGACCAGCCCAAGGGCCACTCCAGGTCCAGCACTGTGTGTCCTGCTGTGAGTAGGACTTGACTCGGAGTTATCAGGGGCTCCTCCGCATCTTCTCAGACCACAAACAAGCACTCTGCCCTGACATACGCCCCAGCTTTCCCATGCAGGCACATCTGGACACAAGGCCACTTGGAGGAGAGACACTGCAGCAGCCAGGCCAGTGAGGGCCCCTGTAAGGAGGCTGCTAGACAGGCCACCGTGGTGTGGTCCTGCCTCAGAGTGGACGCCACCACACCAAGCAACAACAAATGGCCTTCTGCTGAAGCAGATAAATTCCTGAACCCTCTCTCACTCACGCTCATTCAGGAGCCTCAACAACCCTGTATCAATCAGAGAAGTGGATCTAAGGACAAAAAGCTTTTCTAACTATGAAAACTCCAGGCCCAGGCTGTCACAAACCTCCCAGAAATTCAGAGAAAAGTACTGAGCCACTCACTGGCATTACCCTGACCAGACTGGACAGTCCAGAACAGCAGGAGGCCCAATTCTTCATCAACAAATATGTCAAACTTCTAAACATATTACAACAGATTAACATCAGGTTCAATTAACATGTAAAATGGAATCAATGTAATTTAGTATATTAAGAAGATCACATGTTCCCTTCAATACAAAAGCCTAACACCCTTCATAATAAACACTCTAGAAACACAGAGCTTCCTCAACCTCAAAAGGCACCTGTGAACCTACGGTCAGAGCACGACTTAACAGTGGACAGTGGCTGAGTCCCTCCACGGCCCAAAGTCCAACAGGAGGACCACTCACCACTTCCGTCAACATGCACTGAAGCTGCAGCCAGTGCAATCAGGCAAGAAAAAGTGAAAAGCAGACCAGAAAAAGGAGAACCGTGTGCACGCAAAATCACGGCCAACCTCACAACCCGCAGGACTTGCTAACACAGTGACTGTGACCTAAAAGGTGAATTTAAAAGGAGAGAGGGTATGAGACCAGCACTGAAAATAAGTTTACTTCTACACACTGACAATAAAAACACTGCACACTGAAAACCAGAAAATGAAAGGAGATGCAAATAAAGGGGCAACAGAGCCTGACATGATGAGGGAAACCTGTTCTATGAAGACTCAAGCATCTATCCAAACTGAATAAGAAGGTCACAACTATCTAAATCCAATCTTAACTCAAGCAGGATGTTTTGTAGGCATTGACAAGACACATATAAAATTTATATACAAGAAAAAAAAAAATTGAAAAATAGCCAAAAGGTTTCTGAGGGGAAAATGAACAAAGTCGGAGAGCTAAAACGACTTCATTTCAGAGAAGATCATGAAGCTGGCACAACCTGAACAGTAAGGTACTGGCAAGATGTCACCTGTGCCATTGTGGTGACAAGAGTGACCAACCTTCTGAGTGTGAGACAGAAACCCTGCTCGCCCTGCAGCTCCCTCATGATGCCCACGCCCACTGTCACAGTCACGTCAACCCACCTCACCGAGGGGTCTCCTTTCACCAACTATGCCAGCGTGCTGTGCGGGCAGAGCCCACAGAAGAGGCTGCGCACTGGCCTCCCCCTGCTGAAGGGCCTCATGGGCCAGCCTGGAGCATCATGGGCTCCCACTCTCTTCCCCACACAGGTGAGATTGAGGCTGACCACAGGAAGGTGCTGCCCAGCACAGGCCCCACCAGACAGACTCCCCCTACAAGTGACCTGTCTCCTCCACCTACCTGTCATTTAAAAGGTTGTCCCTGAAAATCTGCAGGAGGGTCTCGCTGAAGTACCCCATGGCCTGCGGGTCCTCCTGGATGCTTTTCACGTACTCACACAGGCTCTGTGTCGCGTGCCTCACCTGAAAGAGATGCATGATGTCACGTCCAGAGGGGCCACAAGGCACCTGGCCCAGGCAAGAGGGCCCCAACACCGCCTGCAGGGCAGGGAAGGCTGTGAGCACCAGCAGTCTGAGTGTCCAGCACAGTGGTCACCAGCATCAGTCTCACAACCCCTAATTTGTCATAATGGTCACCGTTAAACCACCACCACCTGTCCCAGGGGTCACTCTCATGAATCTGTATATGTGGGTAGAGGCTGGGAGTAGCGAGGCCACGATGCCCCTTCATGACATGACCCCTCTCTGAGGCTCTGCAAGGCCTACCAGAGACAGATGGACATTCAGACTGCAGCCACAGGAGTAAGGGTTCCAGACCCACCACAGACGTGCGCGGCTAGGCACTCACACAGCCAGGCCCTAAGCCGTTGTCACTATGTAGTGCCAAGTCAGAAACGACCACAGCTGACCCTCTGGTGGGTTTTAAGGGGCAGTAAACTGTACGGAAGCTGGCCCACCTTTCTCCTGTGGAGCAGGCGAGGGATCTGATGTAACCCTTTGTGTTGGCAGTTCAGTAATACAGACCCACAACAGACACTTGGGTGAACACCTGCACAGTAGAGAGCTGGCCTGGGGAAATGTGGAGCAGGGCTTGAGGCAGCTGGGAGCCAAGCTGAGCAGCCGCATTCCAGGGTCTGTGACACTAGACCCAGAACTACAGTGACTGGGGGGAACCAGCAAGAGGAGGAGCAATCTGCAGCTCCAGTTCTGACCCACGCTCTCCAGGTAGTCACCCAAGTGGGCCGCAAACTCCAAGCACTGGCGCAAAGCAGGGCTCCCATGACTCAGGTTCCCTGTGTCCATGAAGGACCCCATCTCACAACTGAGCCAAGACTGGGAGCAGGATGAATATGCCACCCCAACTGTAAGCAAAGGCCAAGCGTCCCCTAACTGCAGAGACACAAAGGACGAGACAGGACACAACACAATCACAGGAGGAGCATCCAGGGGACACAGCAGGAAATAAAAACATCCTTAGTGTCATCACAGTCAGGTGGGGGGGAAAGAAACAGATTTAAGAATTTTTGGTGAATGTCAAAGTGAACTGGCCAACAGCAGATGAAGCGGTGAAGATACGGAGTTGAGATGGAGATATGGGGAGGGGAGGTTAGAAGGTATCTGGAGGCAAAGTGTAGAGGAGATGGAGTTGAAATATCAAGGAGTGGGGGCTGTAACTATCTAAGGGGAAGTGGTGAAGATATCTGGATAATTCAGAGGGAAATAGGAGGAGAAGAAGTCAGAGCACTGGCGTGCAGCATGGGGCCAGGCAGGAGAGGGGTAAGGTGCATGAAGTGCAAGATACCAGGGACCACCTCTGCAGACAGAAGGCTCCCATATGGACAAAAACATGATCCACCATCTCAATGAATGACAAAGCCCAAACAGAATAATTGAAAGGCCTTACTCCGCATGTCACTGTGAGACTACAGCCTATCAGGACCCAAGAGTTATGGAAAGTGAAGAAAGACACAAGCAAGGAAGTGTGCACAGTAACTGCAGTGACCGTGAGGCTGGATGCCAGTGGATGCCACTTTGAGTGCAGAATGACCATCAAACCAAAAGCTGTCCCCACTATTACCTTTAAGGATAACCACTTTCACAGGCAAAGGGACACCTGCCTGGCAGGGACCTGCACATCCTGAGAAGGGACTGGGTGCTGGGGGGACAGTCTGAAGGAGACATGGGGACAGGAGCAGGAAGGCCAGCAGCCACCAGCTCCACAACAAGAGAGTAGCAGAACATCATCCACAGGGCACTTATATGGTGGCCTGGTCCACCATGCAGGACACTGCCTCGACCCATCTGCTATCCCAAGAGAGGCTCATGATGGAGTCTGTAAACGCCAGACCAGAAGACAGAAGCAACAGTGGAAACAAGACAAAAGCCAGAAGGCAAGAGAAAAGCAGGACTGGAAAAAAAGCGGCCAGGTCAGCTCCAAGCACGTGTAATGCCGTGAGTGGTGAGACCACACGGAGCAAGCCGACAGGAAGGCAGAGCGAGGGGCTCAGCCCACAGGGGTGGCACTATCAGAAAAAGCAGGGCACCGATGGATGGATGGACAGATAGGCAAGCAGATGGATGGATGGATGGATGGGCAGATAGATGGACAGGAGGATGGATAGATGAATGGACAAACGGACAGTGAATGGAAGAATAGATGGATGAACTGAAGGAAAGCTGGGCAGACGGATGGGTGGGTGGATGGACAGATGGACAAGAAGATAGATAAACAGGAAGATGTGTGGACGGACAGACAAAGGGCAGATGGACAGATAGGAGGCTGGATGGAGGGGTGGACAGGTGAGGGGGTGGACGGGTGAGTAGACGGGTGGACGAGAGGATAGATGAACAGGAAGATGGATGGGCAGATGGACAAAAGGATACATGGGTGGATGGACACACTGACACGCAGGCAAAATGCCCAGAGAGACTGCGCTGGTGCAGAAACCGCTGTAAGCCAGGAGCAGAGACCCATGAGGCTCAGAGGAGAAAATGACCCCCATGGCCCTGCTCTCGGTCAGCAGGAAACAGTCCTGCCCTCCTTCCCCAAAATGAGGAGGCGTAAGGTTCAGGAGGTACAATACAGCCCCAATATCACAGTTCCGATGGCCCTCAAATTTCATCTCTGCCCCTGGGGCTGATGACTCAGTCATGCCCACCATATGCAGAGGCCCTGTGAGCTGTTCCAAACGAACAGGTCCTCCTAAGAGAGAAACTGTGGCTGGAGGGCGGGAACCAGGGTCCTCACTCACTGTGGACTCTGTCAGGCCACCGGTGGACACAGCAAGTCCCAACAACACATGGTAGCGAAAGGCAGGGAGCGCCAGGAGCTTCGTGATGCGTGGGAATGCCTGAGATGGGGCACTCCAGTTCACAGAGGACACCTCTGACCTGTAGGCGAGTGAGGGTGGTCAGTGCGGTGGCCGGTGGGAACAGGCAACCACAGGGACAGGTCCACATGCAGCACCTTGGGAAGATGAGCTCCAGCTCTTCACGGTGAGGCACGTAGGGCAGTGGGGGGCTGTCGAAGTGCAGCAGCGTCAGGAGCACGCTGCCAGCGTGGGCACGCACTCGGTCAATCTTCTCACTGGCCTGCTGGGCCACACAGCACAGGACCTGCTCACAGCTGCAGAGAGATAAGGCCTTGGGCATCACCACAGTCACAGCTGGTCCTTCAATTCCCAGGAGTGCACCAAGGCGAGGGGAACACCCCACATGCCCTCAATGGACCCTTGCCCGAAGGGGAGCCGCCTGCACGCACGTGTCTGCTGGGATCAGCTCTGGACGGTTCCTCCCTAGCAGGAGTGTCACCTCCAACAGACTGGTCATCGCAGCCTCACGCACCCTGGGGGGAGGAGACACAGAGCCAGGTGAAAACCTCCAGTGAAGCAAGAAGGTTCCACCCTGCTCCTTCCTGCTGCCACGCCAGCCTCTTTTCAGAAGCAATCTGGGATCCCTCCCCTTTTTAAAGTCAGGTGGTGACACCACAGCCAAGGCTGTAAAGCGGAGGTCAGTGGCTCCCATTCCATAGGAGGGAGAGGCAGCCCTCAGCTCCAGTAACCGTCAGGACTAGAAACACCTCAGATGGACTGGATCCTACAGCTCATGAGTCAGAAGGGACTCGCTGCATATGCAGACAATTTACTCCAAGGGGTCTCACTGGATGCACTATGTCAAATGGACTCTACAGACAAATCGGGGGCACTCGCTGGGAATCCAGAAACAAAGGGAAGTCACACAAGGTCAAAAGAAATGACAGTTTCAAGGCTCTAGAGCCCGTGACCGAAATACATACCAGAGACTGTGAGACAACCCGTGGCGGGCACAGGGGGAGGGCACATATGAGATGGAAGGACGTCTCTCGGGATGGAGAGACCACCTCAGGGAGCAGAGTGGATGGAGAGGTTCCTCGGGGTGAAGTCTCTCAGGGGATGGAGGGAGGTCTCTTGGGATGGAGAGATCTCTCGGGATAGAAGAAGGTCTCTCTGGGTGGAGAATGTCTGTGTGACCCTGACCTTCCCCTTGGGCTAACTTCTGGGCAGACCCACAGGACAGGAAGCCACGCAGATCTGGGTACTCACCAGGTGCCCACGTCCCCTCTGCTGTCCGTAGTGTAATCTGCCATGCAGCTGAGCAGCGTGGAGTAAATCTGAGGGACGTTCTCTTTACACAGGGACTGGTCAGGGATACTGTCCGAGCTCACCCCAACTGTCTGGCAGATTCTGAAATTGAAAACCTGCAGCTACAGTGGTGTGATTCCACCACGCCCGCCAGTCTGTCCCTAAGTGGGACTCACCAGGACGGGGCAGATCAGCGCCCTTTCCACACAGCGAGTATGAGCAGCCCCTGATCACCTCTATGTTCTGAAGCAGAAGGAAGGTCCCTTCGGCAGTCACATGACCTCGGCGTGGACGGAGTGTGTGGGACTCCTTACACCCTGGCCACAGGGCCCGGCCTGTCTGTGACACAGACTCCTCACCTCCCTGTGTTGCTAACAATCCCAAGAGGAGCAACCCCGGGTCTGACTCTGCGTTAAAGAAGTCACGCGGTTGCAGCTGTGAGCGCCCGTGAGCTGTGGCTAGAGAAGCTCCGAGTCTGGACCAGAAGCCACAGCGCTCAACTCTCAGAAGCCATGGCTTTCTGACTAGCAGCGAGACTGCAGCCAGGCCTCTGGGGAGTCAGTCTAGAAGGAGACTTACCTGGCGATGGCCATCAAGCCGTCCCTCCTGGCCTCAGCAAAGCTCGTGTCCTTGGGAGAAATGTGGGTGACAGCTCTCAGACCTTCCAGCACCTGGATGAGGAAATGAGTGTCAGCACCTCAGCTGACCAGCCCATGAACATGCAGGACTGCATGCCACCCAGCTGGGCCCACAGCACTGAAAGGAAGGCTGTCCCTCAGTCTTTATCAGCCAGGTCCCCCAGCCCACACCACAGGCAGCATGGGCACACCCACCAGACTAAGCACAAGGGGGAAAGGGTGCTGGCTCTCGATAACATGAAGGCTGACAGGCATTTCCACTTCAAAGTCAGGTGTCCAGCAAACCTAGTGAGGATTTCGGGCCCCACAGGAGGAGCAGAGACCAGCACTATCACCACTCTGGTCCTGTGTGGCCAAGAAGACACAGGGGAGCTCTGCTGACCAGAAGCCCTGTAGCACATTTGTTACTAGACACAGTGGGGCGTCAGCTCTGTCACTGGTCATGTGGGGGCATCATTTTCGTCTCTGTACATGTCACTGCACATATATGGAGTGTCAGCTCCATCTCTGGACACATCTCTGGCACATGGGGGTGTCAGCACTGAAAGCTGAGTGCTGAAGTTAAGGCGAGACGCCAATGCATATGATGTTGTTTCTGGCCACCACCTCTAGCTAGCCGAAGACATCCAATCCTGAGCGGTGCCAGAGCATCTATTCTCCTGAGACCTCATGCAGGCTGAGTGGACCCACATGCTTCCTAGCCCTGTGTCCAATGTGTCGCCACAGGTCTAGGTGATGTGGCATCACGGGAGGCTGGTCCAGGTGCATGCCCTGCTGAAAGCCCTAAGCTCAATGACACCTCACCTGCTGCAGCCTTCCCTTCAGGAGGAAGCTAGGAAGGGCCCCCAGGGCCAGTGCAAAGCCACAGCGTGTCATCTCCTCAGGGCTCCCGAGCTCGGCCAGGTACCGCTGTATCAGCTCATCTGTGAGACCAAATCGAGTGTGGGGATAATGGCTGCCATGGTGCACACACACGCCAACCCCCCACAAGGGAGCAGACGCAGGGCACACAGGGAGGAGGGACCACGGAGCTCCCTCAGCAAGGGAGCAGATGCCTGATGCCCAGGAGAGCCAGCTGACACTGTGTTCAGGTGTCCAGTGCCACAGGAGCCCTGTCAGCCAGACAGCAGGATTCCTTTCTTTAGAAATTACGCCCAAGAGAGTTAAAAGAATAAATGGTGGATGGGTCACAGTTTCCCTTGGTTTCACTAAGCAGATCACGTGTGGTAAGGACGCCCTAGCACGCTGTGAGCTGCTGAGAGCAGAACAGGAGGGAAGAGGTCCAGCAGAGACAGAGCTGCACGCGTGGCCTTAGCAGGGGTAGAGGTATCAGTAGATGGATAAATGTGACAAACGAGGCGAATAAATGGTCCTTCATTTGGTTTTTCAAGGTGTGATTAGTTTGGGGGATTTCGAGGACTCGGGAGAGGCAGGAAGAGTTGGTCAAGGGGAGGGCTGTGCTGTGACAACATGACCCATTCACATAAATGACGTGAAAGAGGCTGCTTATGCAAGATTATGCAGTGACAACATTTTCATATACTTTAAAGCTAATTATGATACATATTCTACCACAAAACATTCAGAGAGAGAGAGAGAGTGTGTGTCTGAGAAATCTCTAATACAAAAATGATCCTCATGGGCACGGTCTGGTATTACATGAAGGATCCCAAATGATCGCAAATCAGATAAACTGCAGCTTATATACTTGGTCAAGAAAATCCAACTGCTGCAATGGTGCATGATGAGAGCAACAGCTACACAGAATACTAACTGAAAAAAACATATTGATACATGAAGAACACTCATAAAAAAATGCTATCCAAGTACAAACACTTTGAGCATTCTGCCATAAAAATCAGTAAAATAATCTTTATGAACAAAAACTCAAGAGCAAGAAGGACGTAGCTGGACAGTATTGAGCAGAGAGCACGAAAAATAGGAGGCGTCACGATCAGGAAAACACAATCGAAGGAGCAAGAACAGACGCCGAGGGAACAAAACACATTCTTTTCTCCCCAAAATGGGGAGAAAAATGACTAATGTACAAAGACATCACCACTGTATATGTTGTTGGTTCAACCATTTCCCTAATAAAGAAATCCCTTGGGGAAAAAGGACTGGTTCTACATTCTAGCAAAGCCACCCTGTGCTCCAGACCTAAGGGTGGCCACAGGCAGTCCCCCAAGGGGCCACAAGGGCGGCTCCAGGCCTTTGGGGGATGCCTCGCCTGCTGGCAGTCCTTTCCCACACACTTCCGGAAGCTGTCATCTGTCCTTTAGACTTGCTACAAGGTCCTGTTCTCCAGGAAAGCACCCCAGTGACCACAGCTCCTAAAGGAAGTGGCATGGTCTGTCCTGTGGAAGCTGGTGGTCCAGGGAAGGGCTGGGGCAGAGAGCACATACATGCACAGAAAACAGTCTTTACTGCTGCTGGGCCAGTACTCAGGGTGGACAGCTCCAGAAACAAGCCACACAGGCTGTCCCTGGGAAGGAGCCCTTTGGGGGTGGAGGGAAGGATCCCAGGGTCATCTAGAACATTCCCCACTCCCCTCTCACTCACCCACTGCAGCAGGGTTCTTCTCTCCTGGCTCTGCAGGGTAGTACTCTGTGCAGAGGGCAGCCAGTGCCGCAACAGCAGCTTCCTGAAGGACAGACCAGATTGTGAGTGCACGATGCTTCAGGAAGGAAATCCCTCGGGGTGTCACAGATGCTGGGCATGAGTGTGGGCACAGGGATGAGATGACACTGAACATCTTGCCCCAGGCACGCGCCTCCAGTGGTTCTGCTGTCTGAAGCAGGGGCCACTGCACCCCTGTGCATGGGCAGGGGAGCATCAGAGAGGCACTTCTGGGGACAGTGCCCAGGGCAGCTTTTGTCACTTCCCACCACGGTCATGAGCTGAGACTCTAGCCATACCCACGCATATATCCGTCATGCTGACGCACGCAGGCAGAGACCCTGAGTGCATGCAGACCTCTGAAAAGCACAGTCCAACGGGGTCACGCCCAGTGCTGCCTCACCTTGATCTGCTGCCTGGACTGACTGGACATGAGGTGGAGGCTCCGCAGAGTATCATCAACCAACCACTGCCAGCCATCTGCCAAGGACACAAGGAAAGCCCCGCCTGAGGGCACGCCGAAGGCAGACCCTCAGATCTCAGCGAGCGGCAACTCTGAGACAGTATCTCAGAACCCTAAGCAGACCCTCTCCAGCTGCACATGAGTCTGAAGGGTCCTTGAGGAAAGGGAGACAGACTTCCTGTACCACGTGAAGGACAAGCATGCCAGAAATGGAGTCATTTGAAAAAACACACTGTGGAACATTTGTTCTTGTATCACATCTGCAAGCTCCCAGTGAGCTTTCCTTCTCCAAGCTCCACCCACTGCAACCCAAGGAAAACCAGACATCCAGTTCACTCAGTTAACACATGCTGGCAAACACCAAGTCTGTTCTGGGATGAAAAGTCTCATGATTTCTGAAAACACAGAGCTGCGGGCGGTCAGTCCTAGAAAAGGCCGAGGGGGGTGCCCCCAAGCCAGGCCCCTGAGGAATCCTGAGGAACATGGAAAGGGGCTCCAGACCAGAGTTCTGGAAGCATCTGGATCCCAGCAGCTCCAAAGAGGACCATGGAGCATGGTCTGATGGGCTGATCTCAGTGACAGTCATTCAGGAAGTGGCTACACTACCTATGACCATGGTCAGTGGGGATGTGAGCTGGGCTGTGTGGGGCAGTGAGGGGTAGTGAGAGGCAGTGTGAGGCAGTGTGGGGCAGTATGGGGCAGTGAGGGACAGTGAGGGGTAGTGAGGGGCAGATCTATACAGTGCTGGGCACTCAGAAAAGTCAGACCCCATGAAAACATTCTTTAGGGAGGGTTTTTTTAAAGGTGGTTTTGGTTTACTTTAAATAAAAAAAAAATTCCAGTCATTCACTTTTGCTCTTTTCTCTCTGCCCACCCCTCCCCCCAGTTTACTTTTCTCTTTGACAAAAAAAAAACCCAAACCACCTTTCATTGTTATACTATCCTCTCCCTCCTCCAGTCCACTCGACTATGCAGCTTTCATTCTGCACTCTTGTCATGACAATAATACCTAATCATATATTCCCCCTAAACAGTTCTCTCCCTCATCTGTTTCAATGTGGTATATATTATTTATCCCCTTAGTTTCCCCCCAACTCTGATGTCACTCCAGTTTTACAACAGTGGCACTATGCAATATTTGTCCTTTTGTGACTGAGATAGTTCACTCAGCATAAAGTCCTCCATAGTCACCCATTTTGAATAATATTTCATTAGTTGCTTGTTTTTCAATGCAGCATAATATTCCATTGTGTGAATACACCACAGCCTCTCTGGCCATTCATTTGCTAATGGCCACTTGGGTTGTTTCCAACTCTTTGCTATCATAAACAAAGCTGCAATAAACATGGATGTACATGTATCTGCTTGGATGTCAGTTATGGTTTCTTTGGGGTATATTCCCAGTAGTGGAACTGCTGGGTCAAATGGTATTTCTATTTACAACTTTTTGAGAAAGCACCATACTGCCTTCCACAGTGGTTGCACCATTTTACACTTCCACCAACAGTTAATAAAGGTTCCAGTTTCTCGACAACCTCACCAGCATTTGTTATTTGCTGCTTTGTTAAATGTTGCTGTTCTTACTGGGGTGAGATGATATCTCATAGTTGTTTTGATTTCCATCTCTCTTAGAGGTAGGGATTTTGAACAGTTCTTCATGTGTCTGTTAGCCATCTGAATGCCTCCTTTGGTGAAGTGTCTGTTCATATCCTGTGTCCATTTTGCAACTGGGATGTTTAACTTGTTGTGGTGCTCAAGTATTTCATAAATTCTAGATGTAATTCCCCTATCAGACATGGAATGGAAAAAGGCCCCTGAATAAGCAAAGTACTCCTTAAAATTAGAAACAAGATAGGAGGCATCTCATTCCCTGATTTCAAATCCTACTATGCTGCCATTGTGGTCAAGACAGTGTGGTACTGGTCCAATGACAGACACATAGATCAATGGAATAGAATTAAGAATCCAGAAATCAGCCTGTCTACCTATGGTCAGCGGATTTTTGACAAGGAGATAAAATCAGGTAAGTGGGGAAAAGATAGCCTTTTTAACAAATGGTGTTGGCAAAATTGGAAAACTATGTAAAAACTCAAACAAGATCCACACCTCACTCCATACACAAAAACTCAAAAGTGGATCAAGGACCTAGGACTAAAACCAAGGATTATAAACTTCATGAGATAAAAGCTTGGAAGAACTCTAGAAGCCTTAATCCACAACATAAACAGTCTTCTAAGCATTCTGAAAAAACATAAAACCAGGAGAGGATAAAATAGATGTATGGACCTTCTAGGAATACAATCCCTTTGCACATCCAAAAACTTCTACACCAGGGTAAAACGGGAAGACACAGACTGGGAAAAAATATTTGGTAAGAGGGTTTTAAGATAACAATTTCAATACAAAGTATTCTACCACAATTAAACTTTAAACTACAATTTATCATCTACCCTACAGATACATTTTTACTGCTAATTTGAGGTCAGCTAGACAAAAAAAAAAAACCCCAAAAACAACAAAGCCCAAAAAACAAACCCATTACCACGAGTTATTAAAGAAATACACACTTACTAATGATGGGGTCCCCTTTAAAAGGCACTCTGGACAGTGCCAGGCTCTCCACCAGACTGCATACTGGGGGGGGGGGGGGAACACAGTTACTTTCCAAAGCTTCCCACCTTCCAAGGCAGAACCAGGAGCTGAGCCCAGTGACAAGCCGAGTGTCAAGCCCAGCAACATCCCCATCACCTCCCAGGGCCTGCACTCACCAAGACATCTTCCACTGTCCCCTCCCAAGACATCTCTCCCAGGATTCCCAGGACACCCCCTGATGCCTCCCGGCATCCCCTCCCAGAATGCCCGATACCTCCCAGCACCTCCTGCTAAGACATCTCCTAGTACCCCCTCCCAGGTGCCCAGGACGGCTCACAGTGCCTCCCTCCAGCCACTCCCAATGCCTCCCAGCACCCCCTCTAGGGGCCCCTCTCGGGATGTCTCCCAGCTGCATCACAGCACCCCCTCCTAGGGCACCCTCAGAAGGAAAGCAGCAGCGGGCAGGCGGGTGGGGCAGTTGCTTCTGATTAATGTACTGCTCCAGGTACACACATAGCACCATCTCTAGAGAAAACTAGTGGACTTATACTAAAAAAGCACATTCCCAGGAAGCTTTATGGATCACAAGTTGAAGCAATACCTTCAGCCTCCTCTCCCACCTCCTTGACAGTTGAACAAAGGGTTTCAATCCCATAATTGCCAGGCTCCTCTTCCAGACCTACCTGCTTGTCTCATGAGTTCTCCACCAAGACCCCTAAAAACAATGCAAACATTCAGATTAGGCGGTCTCATCTCTAAAACAAGAAAAACAGCCACCTGGCGCGGCAAGTGCAGCTTTCAGATCTGTAAAGCTTACCTGTATAACTGATGATCGTAAAGCTAAAAAGAAACCATTGGCAGTTAGTGCATCTTGACTTTACAAACACCACAAAATGCAGACTCTAAGGTGAGAGCAGGCAGTCTGGAAGGACAAGTGTGACCAACACAGGGGTGATGGCCACATGCTCTCAGGCACTAGCAGCCCGGGGTCGGGTTGGCCGAAGAGCACATGCCCTTACACGGCAGTAACAATAAGGAACAAGGGCGGGAAGGATCGCATGGCCCCAGGCAGAGCTAACAGGGACCTGCCTTCAGCAGAGGGGCCCAGGCCAACCTCAGTCCTGGACACTGTGGTCATGTTCCCTTCAGAGGCACTTCACACCATCACCACCAGGCAGAGCAGGGTAAGTTCAGGCACTCCCACAGCAGACCACGAAGAGTGCCAGGGCTAAGTTCAGATGTGGGGCTGGCTCAGCGAGGAGTACCACTGGTTTGGCCAGGAACGGTACAACATTATGGTGATGAAACAGTGTGGTGGAATGGTCCGCTGGGTCAACGGGTGGTGTGGGGGGATGGGATGATAGATGATGGGATGGCGTGGTGTGGCGGATGGGACGTACAGGGGGTGGGAGCTGTGGTGGGTGTACGTGACAGGACAATGTGGTGGGGTGACATGGCGAGGGACAGGATAGTGCAGAAGGTGATAGGGTGGTGTGATGAGACGGCACCATGAGTGATGGCAGCATGATGGGATGCTATGCTGAGAGGACATAGAAGGTCAAGGTGGTAAGACTGAGGGGTAGGATGAGGTGGTGAGAAGAAATGACAGGATAGGAGAAGGGAGTGTAAAATGGGATAATGGGATGATGGTGGTGGTGGGACAATGATTGACGGTAATGTCATGCAACAGGAGGTGATATGTCAAGATGCAATCACCTCCCATGATGTGACCTGATGTTACTAACCCATCAAAGGGGATGTGGTCTGCCTCCAGTTTCTAAGGGAGCTTCTGGCTGAAATCCTACATTCTTAGCCTGACCAGAGGATCTTGAGATGTAAGCTAGAAGCCTCTGGCCTATTCCCTAGCCTGTAGATTTGGGATTCATGACCTCTACGTACCCATGAGCCAGCAGAAGTCTCCAGTCTACCAAACGACCTACAGATTTAGGATTTGCCAATCTCCACAACTGTGTGAGTCATTTCCTTGAAATCATTGTCTGTATTTATCTTTCTGTCTCGCTGGTTTTGCTCCTCCAGAACCATCCTGGACATTTGGCACTAAGAATGGTGCCATCCCCATCAACAAACGAATGGATAGAGAAGCTGTGGTATGTTCACACAATGGAATACTACGCTGCATTGAAAAACAAGGAACTCATACAATATTATTAAAAATGGAGGACATTCTGCTGAGTGAAGTATCTCAGTCACAAAAGGACAAATACTGCATGGTGCCACTGTTGTAGAACGGAACATCAGGGTTGGGGTAAGACTGAGAAAAACTGGATAAATTATGTATACTGCATTGAAACAGATGAGGGAGAGAACAATTTAAAAGAGATATACGATAGGGTATTATGGTTATCACAAGAGTCCAGAATTAAGGGGGAAGAGAGGGAAAGACTGGGGGCCGGGGGCGGGGGGATTGTATGCCAATGAAAGAATTTTACTTTTCAAAGAGCAAACTGAGGGGGAGGGGCGGGCAGGGAGAAAAGTGCAATAATGAATGAATGGAAATCCGAAGTCTCTGTAAATGTTCATTAAAATTAATAAAAATTTTTTTAAAAAGAAAATAAAGTCTTCATAATCAGAACAATAAATAATGATAAATGGGGGGGGGGGAATGGTGCCATCAAGTTGGAACTACCTCATAGCTGACCCTCCAGCAGGTTTTCGAGGCTCTAAATCACAGAGGAGACTGCCTATATTTCTCTCATGGAGCCACTGGTGGATTTGAACCACCAGAGAGGGTGTCGCTGCCTCTGGGTTAGGATTAGCCAACGGGGAGCACAGCTCCCTAGAGACAACACTCTCAGAGCTCCCCCAAGAACTGTTTTAGAAGAACAAATCATAAGGATGAGTTTTCTGATTTGGTTCGCAAGTCTAGCGAAATTTAAAGTTACTAACGACTATTCATATACATGATATATATGGATTCTGAGGCTCCGTCTAACATACTTTGGACATGTTGTGAGGAGAGACCAGTCCTTGGAGAGGGACATCATGCTTGGGAGGGTGGAGGGACAGCGCAGGAGGGGAAGACCCTCTATGAGATGGATTGATTCAGTGACTGGGGTAATCGGGATGCAAGTGTCAGAGATAGTACGATTGGCACAGGACAAAGCAGAGTTTAGGGCTGTTGTACACAGGGTCGCTATGAGTCGCAAGCGACTCGACAGCACATAACAACAACAACGACTATTCAGGGAGCTCTGGTGGCCTAGTAGCAAGGTGAGCTGCAATCCTGAAGGCCCACAGTTTGAGGCCACCAGCTGCTCCACTGGAGGACGATGGACAATTTCCTCCCTTGAGATTTACTGCTTCTGAAAACCAGCCAGAGGGTGAGCTATGGGTCAGTTCCGACTCGACAGTACACAATAAAGAAAACTATTTCTAGTACGAGAGACAGCACTTTCAATTAATGATTCAACGTGGCCCTAATCAAATTTGTGATCATAATCAAATACTTGTGAGACACCAGGTACTGGAGTCAGTGAATTTGATCTCTGCAAACCTTTCTGCCAAGCTGGTTACTGTACTGATGCCAGCAGCTCGTGCGTACGTTTTCAGGACAAAGGGGTGGAGGATGAGTTCAGCGTTTCAAAGTCGCGGCCCAGGCCCCACATACAAGGCCTGAAATCTGCTACTTGTGCTCTTAATGAGAGCAAGACTGCTGACAAGCAAACACGGAATGGCTGGGTTGCAACGCTGGCTGGGGCCAGAACACACCAACCTGCTGGTGAATCTGCTTCAGCCCCTCCAGGGCCGTTCTGTCCAGGTAGTCTGTTATGGACCTGTAACAGACAACACGAGTGCACAAAGAACTTGACTCTCACGTCCACATTTTGATCAGACCAAGGGCTCTGTCCACCCTGTGGCTACATTTTCCCACTTCTGACTGCAGAATGGGGGCTCAAGGGTGGGACCGGGAGCAGACGTGGACACTGCAGTCTCTAGTCACAGGCCATTCTCAGTGCCAGAACCACACGTCTTGCAGGAACAGGACTTCATCAGAAGAGACCCAAGAGTCTCTCTTTCAACAAGTTGGGTCAATGTAGCTGCTGCAACCACGGGCCCACACGTGATGACGACTGGGAAGCAGTGTGGGGCTGCAGAGCCTTTCACTCTGTGTGAGCTGAAACTGACCAGACACAACCTCACAACAACGGGCCCTTAGCAGACACAGGCTGTTTAAGGATCTGCTTCCATGCTGCGCACTAGCTGGCTTTTTACTCTCTTGATAGTATCCTTCACTGTACAAAGTTTTACACTTTTATAAATCCAATTTCTCTGCTTTGTCCTTTCTGGTGTCTTATCTGAGAAGCTGAATGATGAGGTTTACCCTACACTTTCTTCTCAATGTTTGATAGTTTCCACTCTCGTATTTAGGTCGTTTGTGCATTTTGTTTTCATAGAGGATGTGAGGAAGGAATACCTTCATTCCAGGTGTCCCAGCACCATTTGGTGAAAAGAATACCATTTCCTCAATAAATGGTCTTGGCACACTGGCCAAAAGAAACCAACTGACCATACAGTGAGATGTAAGTTCATTTCTGGATGTCAATCCTACTCCCCTGATCTGTTTGTTTACCAGTACACTTTGTACTAAGTTTTGAAATTGTTACGTGTGAGTCCCGCATCTCTCTTTCTTCTAAAGACTGGCTTTCCTATTCGGATTCTCTTGTGAGTCCTCAGGAACTTTAGAATTAAACCTGAAAAGGCAATTGAGGTTTTCATGCTTCTTTTAGGAACTCCAATGGTTCTATAGATCAATGAAGGGTAATGTTATTTTAACAAAAAGATGTCCCAATTCAAGAACACCCAACGTCCCTCCATTTATTTCATTTGTCTCAGCAATACTTTGTAGTTTTTTTTTATCTCAAACATTGAACCTCCTTATTCAAATTTATTCCCAAGTTTGTCATTCTTTTTGACATAATTCTGTGTAAGATTATGTAATCCTAAGTGGTTTTTTTCCCACATGGTTCACTGTTAAGTGTACTGAAACAGAAATGATCCCAGTGTGTTGTGTGTCCTGCACCCTTGGAGAGCGGGTGTTGGTTCCTGTCTCTGCTATGAGAGCATTACTGTAGCAGAGACTCTTGTGGGAACACTCTGAAACATCTGGGCCCTTGTACCATCACTTACAAGTAAACAGAGTGTGTACACTGCTCCATCCTCTCTCCTAAGTGTCTGGGCTTTGGTGACAGGGGACCAACCCCGCAAAGCCACTGCTGCCAGGATGGCTTCAACTTAAGAGAAGCAAGTACAAGATGGGCCTGGGAGCCTGCAGCTCAGCAGCAGATGCACGGAAGGCCGAGCTGCATCCTGACCACACAGAGGGTCCCCTCCACAGGACGCTCACCAAGGGAAAGCCGTGACTCATCCACCATCAAAGGAAACCTGGGACTTAAAGCCTTTACAACACTGGCAGGAGTAAACAAAAATTAACTGGGATTAGCGGTTCCCACATGAGGTAATGCTCTTCCACTGGGAAGTCAGGGAGGGGCAGAACAGCCCTGCTCACAGATCCCTCACCTGCCGCCCTGAGCTGCCAGTCTGTGCAAGGCACAGGTGACCGCCCCACAGGCTAGAATCGCCCCATGGCGAGTGTGCAGGTCCGGACTCCGAGTCAAGGACAGCAGTTGTGGAAAAACTGCAAAAGAGAGGAGAGCGAGGTACAGTGAGCAGCGCAGGGCAGATGCCCACAGTGTGCAGTCGGAGCTGAAGAGAGGCGTCCCTCACCGGCTACCATCCGAGGTCTGACAAAACACTCCCCCCCTCCATGGGACACCATCTAAGGTCAGATAAAACAGCCTCCACACATTGTTGGAGGTCTGAGAGAACACACCTCCCAAGGGACACTATCTTTGGCCCCAGGGTATTATCCCAGCAGCTGATTGGATACCGATACACACATCAAGGGGCTGAGGAAAAGCACCCACCACAGACCTCCTCCAAGGCCTGGGAAAATCTGACCCCCACACAACGCCATGCGAGGAAAGCATTGCCTATGGCACCTGCCATCTCAAGTCTAGTAAAACACGCCAAGTGGGGCACACCAAGCTGGCCGGGTATCTAGAGACTGTGGTCCAGCCTGTGGACAGTGAGCATGCCAGGCACAGCTGCCTGGATGGCTGCCAGACACCAGAGAGCTGCCACAGTGCTTGGGTCGCCGACGCAGGGGAGGAGACAGAGAAGGAAGGACCCTTCTGCCCCATGTCCTGCACTCTATGCCGGGGCCAGTACAACACTGTCCAGTGGGCTAGTGTGAAAACCCACCCCGACTCTGCAAGGAAAGGCGCTTTCAGAGACTGCCTATGCCAGGGCCACACATCACAGGCGTGGACAGAGGGACAGAGGGTCGCTCACAACTGAGTAGTAACAATGAGAGGCAGGAGTCCTCACAAACTACGGCTAAAACAACAGTGATGTCAAATACATGAAAAAGGAAGCATCTGTACAAAGGAAAGACCCAAAGAGGGAAGAAGCAACAATTCTGCACTCTGGAGGGCAGTCTGCTGTTTCCTCAAAAAGCTGAACATGGAATACTTACTTCTGCTAGGAATAGACCCCAAAGAAAACAGAACTAAGACACAAATAGAAATCTTGTTAGTCAAATTTGTGTCTTCTAGGTTGCAACACCCCCATGATACATCTTCAAGGATATGAACATGTACGGCCAAGCACAATCAATAAGA